TATGTATTTATGTATATTTATATGTACATGTATATATACACACACACACACATATATATACATATATACATACATATATATATGTATAAACACATACCTAATTCCAACGTTTTTTTTTCACGCAGGCCAATGCTACTAGACCACTTACTGTTACAGATAAAGTTAGTACTGGTGCTAAAAACGTAGAAGATCGCAGGTCGTCTAGTGCGGCGGTGGGTAGAGATGGGGTTGGTAGTGGGCGGCCGTTGTTAGAAGATTCGTCAGCCGATCGCAAACGCGCCAGAACAGCAGATAAGGACGGGTATGTTCAAAGTTCGGAACATTCTGTAGTATTGGTGACCGATGAGTTTAGCAAGCGGTACACCTTTTCTTCAGATCAATGGCGCAACACCTGCGATACAAAAGTCGAATGTTTAGGCCATATTGTCCATAGCCATTTTTACTGGCACGTGTATATGAATACAACTTTATCTTTATACGTGTGGTACTCTGGCACCACATACTACCTACCGTGTGCAGATACCACTATATGTCTACACGCACATACGGTCTTACTCACCTACCATATCACCCTATACTGATACGCACAGCTCAGAGAGGGTGCGTGTTTCCAGATACGCTAGCTTCAGCACTGGCAGAAACACGAATCGGTTTGAAATGGACGCCACTACGAATGGCCCAGTCACGGGCAACGGTAAGGACACGGGTCTATATTGCCCTGGTGTTGTATGTGTAAGGGAACGGGTTAATAATGCCCTGGTGTAGTATGGGTAAGGGAACGAGTCTATAATGCCCTGGTGTAGTATGGGTAAGGGTACGGGACTATAATGCCCTGGTGTAGTATGGGTAAGGGTACGGGTCTATATTGCCCCGGTGTGGTATGCACTGCTTTGGGCGATAAGAAGACTTGACTGAACCAAATTGAATGATATGTTATGTGTAGAAATATGTACTGCCTTGGTATTTGAATATGTGTTGTATCGGTACAGTAAGTATGTATTGTATTTGTAAAGTAAATATGTAACGGCATTGTCATTGCATTGATATTTGAATATGTGTTGTATCGGTAAAGTAAATATGGATTGTATTTGTAAAATAAAAATGTATCGGCATTGTTATTGTATTGGTAGAATAAATATGCGCCGTATTGAACATAGTGGTTTGTACTGTGTCAAAGTATAGTCAATTGAACAAAGTGGTTTGGACTGTGTCTAAGTATAAGCACGTGTTTGACCTTGCCTCAGGCCCCACCCTTGTTGGTTTGGCTACGGTTTAAACATCTTGCCAACAAAAAAAGGATACATAGACAACATCATCTCTGTAACGCCGGCGAAGTTGTCACAGTGTACTGCACTATGAATTTTCTTTTGACTGTCTCATGTACTGTTGTCCTCGCTGAATGTGCATGTGTGGATGAGTGCGTGCATCATACTCAAATATCATCAATCTACCCCTTTGCATATGCCAATACAATTAATTTACGACTTGGCGTATAAACGTCGAAAATGGCCCGCATCTGTCGCAAATCCGTCACAGGCGAGGAGGAATCAGGGCCTAGGGTTTTGGCTAGTGCAGGTATCTTTCTTGATCGTTGGTCTTGCATATATATATATATATGTGTGTGTGTGTATGTATATGTATATGCATATGTGTATGCATATACATCACTATATAACAGACGACTGCTCTATTGCCAGTACGTTCTATTTTGTCGGTAAAGGCCAGCCTTGTGCTGTCGCAATTGTATATCCACCTACGGTGAAATATTAGGTGGGTCTGAACTTACTCTGGTGGTATTGTTATTCATATAGTTGAATGGCTTACTACTATACGTACGGTAGTATCTGCACTGAAGTGTTGCTCTGTCAAACGCTTGCTAACAGTGACAGCCGGGTGTGAAGTGAGTTATACAGGTTCCAAAGTCATACGGACACTTATGATATGTATTATTAATTGCAGCAGTTTGCATATTCCACTTATATGCCTTGAGAATTCTGGCTCAGTCCTTATAGTCCTGTTGCTAAGCATATCTTCTTATAGTCCTGCTGTTAAGCATATCTCCCTATAGTCCTGTTGTTAAGCGTATCTCCCTATAGTCCTGTTGTTAAGCGTATCTTCCTATAGTCCTGCTGTTAAACGTATCTCCCTATAGTCCTGTTGTTAAGCGTATCTCCCTATAGTCCTGTTGTTAAGCGTATCTCCCTCAAGTCCTGTTGTTAAGCGTATCTCCCTATAGTCCTGTTGTTAAGCATATCTTCCTATAGTCCTGCTAAGCGTATCTTCCTATAGTCCTGTTGTTAAGCGTATCTCTCTATAATCCTGTTGTTAAGCGTATCTCCCTATAGTCCTGTTATTATGCGTATCTCCATATAGTCCTGTTGTTAAGCGTATCTCCCTATAGTCCTGTTGTTAAGCGTATCTCCCTATAGTCCTGTTGTTGAGCGTATCTCCCTATAGTCCTGTTGTTAAGCGTATCTCCCTATAGTCCTGCTGTTAAGCGTATCTCCCTATAGTCCTGCTGTTAAGCGTATCTCCCTATAGTACTGTTGCTAAGCATATCTTCCTATAGTCCTGTTGTTAAGCGTATCTCTCTATAATCCTGTTGTTAAGCGTATCTCCCTATAATCCTGTTATTATGCGTATCTCCATATAGTCCTGTTGTTAAGCGTATCTCCCTATAGTCCTGTTGTTGAGCGTATCTCCATATAGTCCTGCTGTTAAGCGTATCTCCCTATAGTCCTGCTGTTAATCATATCTCCCTATAGTATTGTTGCTAAGCATGTCTTCCTATAGTCCTGCTGTTAAGCGTATCTCCCTAAAGTCTTGTTGTTGAGCGTATCTCCCTATAGTCCTGTTGTTAAGCGTATCGCACACTCCTTCCTCGCACAGGTGGTGATCGAGAACAACGAGATGGCACGCGTGTACGAGCAGGCAATCGTACGGGCCGTCGGTAATTCTGAAGTGTTTTAGGGTTTAGGGGTTTATTGTGTTGTGTTTTTGGTAATTATGTTGTGTTTTGCTATGCCATGGGTTTGTTGTGCTGTGTTGTGTATTTGGTCTTTTAAATATGTGTCATAGTTCATGTGTGTTGTGATATGCATATATATATATATACGCTATTACATGCACATGAGCTTATCTGCTACGGTATGTGTTGGTTCACGTGCATGTTGTGTGTGCTTGCGTAGTTCCGTTCGACCTACTCTACACGTCGTCTGCGTTGGAGAGTTTATTTGCGAGTGTGTGCATTGCTAGTGTCTGCGTGAATGCACGGGTGTAAGTGCGTCTCTCAGTTGAGTCTGAGTGCACAAGCACTGAAGCGTTCGTGCGTCTATATACTCAGACCATGTGTCTGCGTTTGATCACGCTATTCTATATATACACAAGCATGTGCAGACCACTATAGAAGACAATGTATGTGCATGTAAACGTAGCCCATCTAGTGGGGGTTGGTATTCCGTACCTGTTTGGTTAGTGGTGTCTTACCTTTATGTAAATCGGATAGACGCTTGCGCATATCAGACCAACAATGATTTGTGTAAGGTGTTCGTATCTTTCTGTACACCCATCCATTTCATGCTACATGTCTTTCTGCACACCCATACATCTCATGCGACTGTATTACGTCCAGAACAGTTACTCGATGCTACCTCACACGCGCAGTCCTATTTAGTTCATACGCATACGAATGCATTGTTAAAAGTAGTTTACATATGTCTGGGTATTGTCATACTTACACTTAGTGCATTGTTTGAAGTAGTTTACACATGTTTTAGGGTTTTGGGTTATTGCCGTACTTTCACTGTGCCAGTTGTCGGCCAATATGTCATCCTATCTTTCCTGTACATGTTATGCCACTCTGCTGATATGTGGCTTTTATTTTCTCATTGCATACCTACTTACATACAGTGGTAGTCGTGGGAGGATGCGGTTGGAAAATGCCACCGATAATTATACCCAACAGCACAATGGGCCTTTACAGTTGTCTTTAGCGTACGAAATGAGTGGCATGACCTTGTCGTCGAGTAATGAGAGTGCAGATACAACGAAGGTATAATATTTTAGATGTGTGATTGAATGTATGTAATTATATTTTATATATAT